GACCAAACCATGGCTGGGATCTGCCTCCGATGGGCACCACAGAGGATGGAATAAAAAGTTTCATACCCTGAAGTACCACATCAGCAACAGAATCGGCAACAACGCTGGGATCTTCCGGCGAGAAGCAAACCCGCCCCCAAGGGTAGGATGCAAAAAAAGACCGCATCCCGTCCCAATCAGCTGACCTATAGTGCCAAACACGGCGGCAAGCTGTAGATCGCAACTGCGATTGGAGCGTGAGTGGCACTGTGCTCCGGATCAGACAATGGTCCGAAGAGCCCAGAGGGGCATCGACGGAGACCTGATATCCGTCCGGATGAGAGGTCAGCAGAAGGTCCAACAGGGAAGGTACATGGTCTTCCACATCTGGGATCCGCGTAGGCGAAGTAACCAGTTGTGTTAGACCATATGCCAAAGCAAAGTCGTAGACAGATCTACCCGCATGATCGGTTGAACGAGAACCAAGCCATTCAGCGTGGTGGGCGTTGAAATCACCGAGTATCACGATCTCTGCGGATGGGACCTGTTGTAGCACGGAGTCTGCAGCCATTTGGACGTGGTCGATGAGTCGGTCTGTGTCGGCATTACCGCTATGGGACCTATAGAGGCACCCGTAGACGCGGGGATGGTCGTCGCTGTCTACGCGCAGCCATAGGATGGACAGGTCCGTACCTTCAAGGCTGCCGAGGCGTCGAAAACAGATGTCCTCTCTGACGTATACACAAACTCCAGCCCGGGGCACAAAGGAGTGTTCCAATTTGTACCCCGGGTAGGAGAGATATGAAGTATCAGCCGGAGAGGACACCTGAGTCTCGGTTAAAAAGAGCAAGGCCGGCTTCGCCGTCTCTAGATGGTAATGGACAGCGTTAAGGTTGGAATGAAGTCCCCTGATGTTGCAAAAATTCACGGATAGCGTGTCAGGGGTCGCCTTGGTTGTATTGCTCCGCTTGCCCCGAGCAGCATTAGTCACGAGCGGAATTTTGCCCCCCCCAGAATACGCGGGGCAGCCTGAGCACCCACGCTCAGGAGTGAAGTAGTTTGTTCGTGGATGCTCAGCGAGGGATTCTCCAGGGTTGCTGGTACCCTCCTGGGGTAGTCTTGTATTTAATTCCACTACCATGTTGATGGGGGGGGGGGGGGGGGAATTGGGCCTCCGGCCACCTGCACTCACCAAACGCAACGCAGAGGTAAACCTCTACTTCACGCTGGTATTCTGTGAGGTCGTGGTACCACCCCGGTTCGAGCTGGCCCATCCGTGCGACAGCAAAAGCTACCGCTTGGCTCTACCACTGGTTCATTACCACATTCAGCGATCTTTTGTAAAGTTTTTGTTTGATACATAGATATAGTAGGTTTGATATTTAATACTTGTTTTAGTTTTTTTATTTTTATTTTCACATATTTTTTTTGTAAAGTTAAAAGAAAACTGTAAATATTTACGGTTTATTTATAAAATCTTTTGTAATAATTTATGTTCTATCTTTTTTCTCTAGATGGCGCTTCTTAATTTCAAGTTTTAAATTAATTTACAAATGTTTAACATTTTGGTATAAAAGTTTAGGTTTTGGAAAAAGGATAGAATATTTTTAATATTCTGTGTGATTTATAAGTTATCACATTAATTAAGCATTTTGTAGTTATATAACCATAAATATTAGACTAGATGGCATTTGTGGTCTTGCTTAAATTGTGCTATTTAATTGATGTTTTAATGTGCCGGTAGATGGCACAACTTACTTAATATATTAATATCTATTGTTGATAATCGCGCTATTAACATTTTTACACATTTTAGGTATAAATATAAACTTTGAAAACTTGTAAGTGTACTTGCTTCGGCAGTACATATACTAAAATTGGAACGATACAGAGAAGATTAGCATGGCCCCTGCGCAAGGATGACACGCAAAATCGTGAAGCGTTCCACATTTTTTGAAGAATTGTATGGTATCCGAAAATGAAGAGGTTTGTCCCCAGCAACCAGGACGTACCAATTTTCATAAGTTCATGAATTACATTATATGATGATCAAATTCAGGAGCAAGTTCAAGTACTGTTTTATGGTATGGGGACGTATGGGCTTGTACTATTATTTCAGGGGTCTAATATCAAAGGCGGCAAAGTCCAGTTAACCCTTTCTCTGTCCCGTGCACTACATATAGGTCATTGCTATTGTCTTACTATTGTGTCTGAAAACCGGACAGTGAAAGTGTTAAAGTAATTTTAGCTGTGTTATCGAGTTCTATCAACTCGACTTGACTTTGTTCGACTATAAAAGTAACCTAACTCTGTTTCTACGTCTAAAAATATGTTCGTGGAAAGTTTCACCTCAATCAAGTGGGTAGTTACGCTGTAAACTTTCGCACTTATAACATGTATTAGTATGATAGGTACAAAATTATTATACATAAACGATAAAACTCAAAATGTATTACATACGGAGGAACATAATTTTATTTAATATTATGAAAATATGGATATATTTATAAAAAAAATTATGATTATTATTTTGGAGTCGAAAAATTAATTTGAGAGTACAACCCTAAAGAAAGTAGCTACTGACCTTAGTTTCTTTAACTTATTTTGCTTCCAGTTTTTGGGATTCACGGCTCTTTTCCTGGCTTTATTTTTAAGCACAACTTTAGGTCGGCAGTCCATCTTCACTTTTATATATATTTTTTATTAAATAAAATAGTCTAAACACTTATAATTAAAGGAAATAAGGACATAAATAATGCAGTTTCGTTAAAAAAGGCCTTTGAAACAACTCCTCTCTGATTGGCCGAAATAGACATTACTAATTTTGTTATGTTAGTCAGGGACTTTCCCGAATTTGTTATAAAACGTTTCGTTTATGCGCAGCAATCTATCTATTGGATTTTACCGGATTTGTTCGAATCTCTCAAAGTGATCTAGTAAGAAATATGTTGCCACAACCAATAAAATTAAAATCGACGTTTGACATTATATGGCACTTTGCCGCCTTTGTTATAAGCTTATAAGGCTGGCTTTTCACTATGGGATATAATATATATTATATCCCGCCATTGGCTTTCACACTGTGAGATATATATCTTTTAACCAGTGTGCGTTCGTCATTGGTCATTGGATTACCCCCCTTTACCCCGTACACCGTTCTGCGGGGGCGCGGAACGGTGTGCGGGGTACAGTAAAAATATTTATAGCTTGAGATGTAATATATATTATAGCTCAATGTAAACGGTTCCATATGAAATGTATGGTGAGCGATATTGATTTATATCTCGAGATATAATAAATATTATATTATATCCCATAGTGAAAAGCGGGCTTTAGACCCCTGATTTATTCTGCTGTGGTATGGGCTAGGTACCACAGAATACATGTACCCTGCTAGGTACCTAATTACATTGTTTTAATTGAAAAAATTAAAAAGGGTAGTACACATATAATTTCATAAATCTTTCTTTAGGACGAGATAAATATGCTTTTATCGTTCTGAAATTACCTACTTCATTTGAAACTAAACAGGTAGATATATCGAAGAAAGTTATTTACTCCTGTTTCTAAGACTGATGCACCTTATTTTAACATGTCGAACAATAGCTCTTGCAACATTCTTTCTAGACGCTGTATTGACTTGCTTGGCTTTTAGATTTCTCCTTTCGCACTTTTTTGGCGTTTTAGGCGGTAAAATGATATATCCACTACCCCATATCGTTATCTGGTATATAGTGTATTATCTATGCATATCGTCCCGTGGGTGTCGTAAGAGGTGACAGAGGCAAACTGAAACAGGTGATGGGCAGCAGCATCTTCCTGATAACAACTCAAAATAATAAAAAATCTGCGGTTGCCAACCCGCATGCCAAGCGTGGCTATGGCAAAATCCCCCTTATCAGACAATCTATAGGGGAGGCCGCCTATGTTCAGCAGTGGACTTTTATAGGTTGTAATGGATGGATGGACGAATGGGTCGGCTCGACCAGGAAAGAAACACGAGCTCACAGAATACCAGCGTGAAATGGCAGCTACAAGCTTCTGTGTTCCGTATGGTGAATATAGAGAACCGGAGACTTCTTACTGGAAACGAGGAGTCCAAGGACACAAATTGACTATTAATAGAGGATAAATGTAGATGTCTATGGGCCACGCCCACAGCATAACTTACCGTGTGCACTGAGTGCTTGTGTGTCACACTTATCGTGTGCCTGGCAATCGTGGCTATTACGCCAAATCCTTCCTATTACGGGAAAGGCATATGCAGGAATCGACTGTTAACTGGCTGATGAAAAGTAGGAGTGGTAGACAGATCGTGATATCACTCACCAAATCATAACTATGATACCTACATGATTGAGATATGCTTACGTTTAATATTATTCCTTGACCAAAAATCTATTTGTATCCACAGTGAGCGTTTTTATTAAGCCTGCCAGCACGAATGGTTTAGCTCAAGCCGGAAAGGACTATACACTAACAAAATATCAGTGTTTTATAAATACTAAATGTTCGTTACGAAAACCCTTTTTAACGGGAACGAGTCATCACAATGTGATGGATTGACATGTCATGTCAATCCTTACAAGTGAAATGTTTCAGTGTTTTTATGCTTAATTGAGAATAGATGTAGATGTATTTGGGACCACTAGATGCACTGTATGCTCGATTATCATCACCATGATTACAACCTTTCACAAGTCCACCAAGCTGAACCACACCACAAGAAATTACCTAAATTATCACCCTTACTTGTATGAATTAAAGTAATTGTGGCATTAACTCCATCTTCCTCCCATCTCTGATACCTGAAAAATTTCTGATCAACCCGATTTCTGCATTTCACAATAAATATTAAATTTTTTTATTATAAAATGTAAAAGCGAACTTTAAATAACTAAAAAGGATAAAATATTTTTTTCTCTTCTTCTTGGATCTTATTTTAAAGGTGAGAATAAAAAATAAAGCACATTATAATTATAAAAAATGTTTATTGTACATTGTAACTATTAAATTATAATTCACTTCATTTGTATCATGTGAGCAAGTGTCCAGTCATGCTTAAGTTCCACGGGCTCTTCAACAATCACTCCATCAGCTGTCACAACACCAAGCTGGTAACGGGGGAAGGAGCGTGCATCACGGTAAAACAGTACCTCCATACATTTACGAACAAGAGCTCTGAAAAATAAATTAGTAACAACTATTAATATTAGGATGAGAAATTGTGTGATTAAAGAAAACGTGTGGTTACAAGATGTTGTGACCAGGATTAAAAAATAATGTTGTTAAATGTGTAATAATGCAAATCATAAATCAAAGGTGAGTGAGGGACACCATAGATGGAAGTTTATGGACCAAATTGGCGATATATTTAAGATAGGTCACATTAAGAGTAGGTACCCGTAACTGATGCACATGTATACGTAGATATATGGATGTCCAAGAAGCTAAAGAAGTGATGTCAGAATTGGAAATGGAAGTTTACATGGTAGAACACCGCTGCAGCTGTAATATGATTGTAGCACGAATGGGTCGGCTCGACCGGGGTAGGACCACGCGTTTAAAAATAACAGCTTAATGTTGTTGTGTTTCGAAGTTGAGTGTAGAGAACCAGAGTCCCTTTTAAGCAGAAACAAATCATTCTATCTTGGTCCTCGAGGGTGACAATGCATCTGCATTTTATTCTTAACTGAAGATAGATGGGCCGTAGCATCCATTTGCCATGAGGTGGACCATGTGCTCGATGATCACCCTTATTCCACTAAAAAAAGACCATACTCTCTGAATCCCCTCGGGGTGACAGGTGTGACACATAATATTTTCTATTTGGAGTTTAAATTTTTATGAAACTGCTTTTAAAATTCATCAACAGTAAAATGTTGGTTTTGCTGAGTAGTGACAGCATAAAATAATACATCATTCACCATTTGTTCCCATAAGTTTTATATGAGGCAACTACAATTAATGCAGATATTATATTCAAATATGTTAGATAGATAGTCTACTATATTAAAGACTGGCTTTGATACCCAATTATTATTATGTTTTAACATTATTCTTTCGGAAATTGTATGTATCCTTTCAGGTACAGATAGGTAAATACAAGACTATCTTAACAGGTCGAAAATAAGTCAGAATGGTTATTATCAATATATCATCTTCCACTTAATTTCTTTAACACATGGCAAGAAATTTACTTGCAGTCATTGTATTATATTTTTATCTTTAATAAAATATAACAACACTTTTAACACTTACTTTGCAGATTCTTCATCAAGCGGTCCTTTTTCAAGTGCATCCCGTAATAAAGGTGTTGCCATGTATGCACCCATTCCTGTTGCAATTGTGGCATCTTCATAGGCTGTTCCTAGTTTATCTACTGCTCCTAAGAATGGCTCTCCATCCTGTTAATAATATACTTTTAGCTTAATTATACAAACTAACTGTTATAGATTTCATAACTAATATATTTTGATATAATGGTCAAATTGTTAACCACTACCATTATTATAGCCTATAAACAGAACTACATCCCATAGATTGCTTTATAAGGGGGATAGTTTCCATACTTGGTAAGCGTTTTGCCAACTGCAGTGTTTTTTTACTATGCTGTTATCAGGAAGAAGCTGTTGCCCATCTCCTGGTTCAGATTCCCTCAGTCGCCTCCTGTAGTGGCGGTGTAAGAATGTCCACTACACCACTACCCCCGGTGAGTGTCGTTAAGGCGACCGAGGGAAATTGTTGACATATGAACAAAATTGAAGACAAATTCATTTTAATATGTATTGTTAATCTATACACAAACAATATTATTAATCAAAAAAATAATATATAATTATAATCATTATGTTGATGTACAGGCTGTGGTTCAATATCAGAAACAATTATAAAGCAATTAGTCTACTGAACTGCTCCCTCTATATGTCCTTCGGAATATTTTATGTCTCAAAACATGCAAGTTTCTATGCAATAAATTCATTAAATATTGAAATCATTCAGAACTTGAAATTGTAATTAATAAGTACATTAGTGCTAACGTGGATAGAACCTCGCATATAGGCTGCTCTCTCTCCACACCTACGGCATTACAAAAATTCTCTAGGGGTATTTGACAGACAAGACTATGTGGAATCGGTGTGTGCTGATTCAGTTTTAGAACTCAATTTTTGAGTATCAATATCTCGGAAACTAAGCAACATACCAAAAAAATTATTCTTTCTTTTCGGCATATCTTGTCAAGATCTATGCGAAACCCCCTTCAAATCGTGGCGCCGTAGAAACCGATGCAACCCCGATATCATGGTTTAACTAACTAAATAACCTTACCCAGCATTGTATGTTTGGTGGGGTTGGATGTGTTGGATATTTTCAAGAGATGTACATTTACTGAAAAGGCATGATGCATTATAATAGAATTCTGACCTGAATACCAGCAACAACATAATTATTCCATAGAGGGTCCATTTTGCTACGTTTGTTGTACAGAACACGAGTAAGCCAGCAGTGCAATGATTTAGGCTTTAACTGCAGACCATCACCAATACACTGCTCATCAATTCTGAAAAAAAGAAAACAATTTTTTTATTATTTAAACTAACTGGTTCATCAAATATATAATTTTTTGTGTAACAAAGTTTAAATAAATAAATCATACTTCACTTACATTTTTTGCTCAATAATATCCTTTAAATATTGATAATCAGCATAATCTCCACCCGAACCAAGCAGAATGAGATCATTAACCTTCAACACTCTAGGGCAGTCCCTGAATCTAGCAAGTGAGCCATATGATCCGAGAGTATCAGCGGCAATCACACAACCCTTATCAAATTTTAAGCCAATTACAGTTGTAGTCGTTGTTATTGGATTGGCGGAACTAAGAAAGCAAAATATATTATGTTAAACAAATTGAAAACATTTTATGCCATACATTTATTAAGTTTATTTTGATGAATATTGAAAATTATTTTTCATTCCTTGTCTTTGTACAATATTATGGTCACTATCTAGATAGCTGTCTACATAGTCCTATAGCTATCTACATAGATCTAGAAATAATAATCAATATTTAGCGAAAAATATAAAAAATAAACTTACTGAGCTTTAAAATCCTGTACAGTGCGGCCAACGGGCCCTAGACTTGCATTTCCAGGAAAATTGTAAAAAGATCCCGGGGTAGGGCCGTTTTGCCATAATGGTAATGGATTAAGAACATCACCCATAAATGCCATTTTGTTAAATTTAATCCCAAAAGATATAACCCCTGTTTCGAATGAAAATATGAGAAGCGGTAACGGTGAATAAAATTCCAATAATGACAAACAACAATTGAATTGACACTCTCCAGTATTATATATTAGTCTATGATTGACACTACTTTTTTTTTGACAAGCAATGAATGAATGAAGCACTTGGTCATTGCACAGACTACTAGGAGCTACGAGGATACTGCGCATTATGAGTGCTTCAGATAAACGTAGTGATTATATTCTCTTTGGCAGAAGCGATGAAAGGCACTTTTTTTAAACATATTTCATTCCGTTATTTGACATATATTTGGATGGTTTAGTTTAGCTTGCTACATATACATTTATCTATGGTTTAGTTCTTAAAGTCGACTAAGTCCATTTTCCTTGTTTTGACATAATGTGGTCATTTGAAGTGCAAAAAATGATTTTGAAAAGACATGATTGAAAAAAAAATTAGACATATATATATAATAAGACAGTCGTTTATTCGGTAACATTTAATGCGATGTTTTAAAAAGTATTTATCTTAATTAATAATTAACAAACGAACAAAATAAACAAACACCCGACTTTTGACGAATATCCAACTTATCTTTATTATTACGGATGTTTCTAAGAGAATTGTTTGTTTTGAACGTCACATAAATGCGGTTTTGTCGAAGTTGGATATTCGTCAATAGTCGGGTGTTTACAAACTTGTTTGTGACGAATGCCACGCCGTTTACGTGGGTCAGACTGGTCGCAATTTCAAAACACGTTATAAAGAGCATTTTAGCCGCGTACAGGAATTGCAATCCCGATAAGTCCCATTTTGCTAAACATCATCTTTGTCGTATTGTCGTCAGTGGTGTGTCTTTCCTAGTGTAGTGGTATTGGGAGTAGTGGTATTGGGAGTAGTGGTGCTGGGATTAGTGGTGACGGGGATAGTGCACGCAATTGAGGGAAGGCGGGAGGTGCTCTTCAAACTAGGTAAGACACATCATTTTATTTTATCTAGCGGATGTACGCAAATTAAATTTTTGTCAAATTTAACCAATCAAGTATTGCAGCAAGATTCGTATTGGTGTCATTGATGGCAGTGGTAAGATTCTAGATTGATGTATGGGAGTAAATTTGGAGATCATCTGCATACAAATGGTAGAGAGAAGAAATATTCGTGAAGTAATAGAATTAATAAATACAGAAAAAGGGAGAGGAGACAACATGCCACCCTGTGGAACACCAGCAGTTAATTCACACCACGTAGATGTGGCACCCTCTACCATAACAAGCTGCTGGCGGCCACGCAAATAGCTTTGAAACCATTCAATTGCCGCAGAAGATATGTTAAAAGAACGTAGCAGACTCAGCAATACGTCAAAATTGACAGTGTTAAAAGCGTTACTGAAATCCAGCAACGTAAGAATAATGAGCTGCTTTTGGTCCATACCCTAGCGAATATTATATGTGATTTTAAGTAAAGCTGTAACCGTACTATGACCAAGTCTGAACCCTGATTGAATACTTAGCTTACTAACCTTTTTTGTTTACCCTCAAACATTTTGTAATCATTTGTAGCCCTTTTTTACAGCATTCATAAATTTTAAACTTTTAAACAATTTTTAAAGTTAACCTGTTAAAGTTTGTAAATAGATCACAAGTAGGCCTTGTGCGATTCAATGACCGCACTTTGACTGGCACTATTTTTTCGTATTTTTGTTAAACTAGTGTACTAATTGATAGTATTTTCATAAACAAAGGACTAAAGTACTTCGAGGCGGAAAGAAGTGTAATCCTTTTGTAAACAAGATGCTTCTAATCTATTTTTAAACCAAAATACACTGCAATACGGAATTATTATCGTATGATGTTCCGCAAGCGCGGTGTTTAGATGACCGAGAATGTATCTAGCTAGTTTTGTCGGGTGACCAGCCATTGACCAGTATAGAAAAAACGTACTCTGTGATAACTAAAGTAGGATATACAGAAAACATTAATTTGTTTAAAACGAGAATAACTTCCGGTCTCGTACTTTTATCAGCGGGTAAAATCCAGCGTTGGCACCCTTTATAATATTTTAAAATCTATAAAGCCATTAAGGCTACACAGATAAAAATACTGTCAAAAATAAAATGAATCTAAAAATACAAGGTTGCTTTATTGCTCACTCAATATCCATATGTATGCAATATTATCCAAAAACTAACACAATGGTCAATATCAAAACAAAAAACCAATTACTGGCAACCAAAGGATACCTATAGCTGGCAACACAGATTGACAGATTGTCAATAACTTGTAAGTTCTTGTCTTTTGATTTTCTTTCCGAAAAGTGACACAACAGAATGTCTAAGAGAGGTTCGTGAAATTTCTAATATCTACTTAAATCTAGTTGATTGACACAAAAAATATTAAACAGATTTGTGAAATGTAACTCCACTGCATTGATTATTCTTAATGACTGTATATTTTTAATATCTCATTGTTTTTCTTCATGTGACAAGTGTTTAAGTGAATGCTGTTAAAGATGTGCAAATTTTTGTTTTTAAGGACGTGGTGGTTCTGCGGGAGCAAAGTTTCGCATTTCACTGGGTCTTCCAGTGGGTGCCGTCATAAACTGCGCCGACAATACAGGTAAACAAGTACTGCATTGATAACCTTTTTAAAATATCTTAAATGACTGAACATTCGATGATGATAGAATTATTTTTAACACGAAGTGTTATTGAATCATAATGATTATTTCCTTGGCTGTGTCTGAGATTGTTCAGTTATAATTATCTTGTATAAATAGAATTACTGCGAAAATTAAGCAGATTGTTATTATTCAATTCTACGAGTAAAATATTAAATATTGTACTAGCACTAGAAGTAGGAATAACTACCTAATATTATGTGCTCAAATATTGTTATAAGTATGTTTTTTTATCTGCCTTTTAAAAGTCCTGCTGGCGGCGTGACTCAGGCTGGCTTTTCACTATGGGATATAATATATATTATATCCTGAAATATAAATTATATCCTGCGATTTGCTTTCACACTGAGATATATCTTTTAACTAGTGTGCGTTCGTCATTGGTCATTGGATTACCCCCCTTTACCCCATACACCGTTCTGCGGGGGCACAGAACGGTGTGTGGGGTACAGGGGGCGAAATATAATATGAAAATATCGCTCGGTCGATCGAAAACATATAGCTTGAGATGTAATATATATTATAGCTCAGTGTAAATGGTTCCATATGAAATGTATGGTGAGCGAAATTTATTTTATATCTCGAGATGTAATATATATTATATCCCACAGTGAAAAGCGGGCTTAACATTGTAGGGAGTCGAATAGAAGCTTGAGCATGCATATTAACTATACTAGATTTTCACTAAAACCGCTATTCCTTTTGTCATTTAAATATTGGTTTCTATAAACTTTTTGGCTTAGCTTTCCGTTGACGTCCGTCGAGTTGGAGGTTGATATTTTTTTTACACAAAGGTTACATTATTATGATCACACACGCAGTTCCAACATGTGGAAACGCATACTTTTTGAGAAAAAAATTACTTAAAATCAATTATTTTTGCAATATTTATGCCAATTCCCATTGCCGTCCGTCAAGTTGGCGGTTGATATTTTTATTACAGAAAGGTTTCATTATTATAAGCACACACGCAGTTTCAACATTCTGAGACACATACTTTTTGAGAAAAAAAATATTGAAAATCAACTATTTTTGTAATATTTATGTCAATTCCTATATGAATTATAATAATCGCTTGGTGGATTGAAAAAATATAGTATGAGATGTAATATATATTACATTTCAGTGTAAACAGTTCCATTAAAAAGTATATATATATATATATATATATATATTACACTATATCCCATAGTGAAAAGCGGGCTTAATTTGATATTGTAGTTAGATAATATTTTGGACTCTCTGGTCTTTGGTCTATAATGTCTTGCCTTCAGGCTTTTAAGAAGAAGGAAGTTGTTAAGTGAAGGAGTTAAGGGTTGATAGATCTTAGAAAAGTTGAAACTTTGCATCAAGATAATGTGATGCACAATAGTTTTGATGATAGTTTGTTATTGTCTCCTTGTTTTTCTTTACGCCAGATTCAATGAATTTGCCAATGTCAATTATTAATTATTGTTACCCTCATATAGTAAAAACATACCAAAATAATTATATTTGAATGGCATCCAGGCAATCTTAGACTATGCAGTCTTTCAAATTACCAAGAGTTCAAAATAATAAGTGTTCAGACAACCAAGAGGGAGGGAGGAAAAATCAAGTAAACAAGTGTTATCAAAATTCATGATTTATTATTTTAACATTAGTAGAATTATTCACAAATGTTAATTTTGAAAAGAAGTCTCTCTTATTTATGTAAACAATCGACAGGTTTGTTCATGTATGTAAATAAACAACAGGTCTATGCATGATACACTTCAAATTATGGAGAGTAGTATCGTAAATAATTTCCTCTCACTGATGTGCAGCTTAAATGACCGGCCACACATTCAAGTTAAATGGTCCCAGCCAAGTTTGCACCATCCAAATGTTCAGCCAAGCAATGATTGCACAAGCCTGAGCAAATTTTGTTGAAATTTAAATAAGATTTAAATAATTGTACAAAAGATTCATGGGCATTGGTTTGCTTGGCAAAAATATTGGGCATGATGTGCGCTTAGGGTACAGACAATAAAAAAGCAAAGTGTAAACTTGAGGATGAGGATGTAGCGAATGTGGGGTGAGGTGTGCAAGACAAACACATGCTCTTACATACTCTTACAGTGGCTGATATTCTGGCCTCTGTCCTCCGTCCTCTGTCTCTGCCCATCGTTCCAAGCACTTACACAGGTCTTAATAGGAGGAGTAAATTGACCCCCACTCCCCAATCCAATATTTCTGATCTTATCGCTTAAGTAGTAGAACTGTAAATAATTTCGTATTCATATTTAATTTAAAGAACTAAAGTATAATGACCAGTATATTTCAGACGAAATATAAATAAATCCTATTTCATTTTGTTCTAGGAGCAAAGAACCTCTATGTGATTGCTGTACAAGGTATCAAAGGTCGCCTTAACAGGCTGCCAGCTGCTGGTTCTGGTGACATGATTGTAGCTACTGTCAAGAAAGGCAAGCCTGAACTCAGGAAAAAGGTTAATATTGCTAACATTTTACAATATTTAACAAAATTGACCAAGAAATTTAGATGTAGTTAATGCATAATACTTCATAATTTACAGCAAATCCATGTTACTATATTATGTTTATATGACTGCCTCGTTTAGTGGTTGCAAAATGCTTGCTGATCATGAGGCCTTGGGCTTGAATCCCAAGTCGGGTAAAAAAAAACAGTTATTGAATTTTGTCATTAAAAATTCTCAGTACCTGTCCAGAGTGAGGACGTTGGTGGTGTCCCACCCCCAACTTGTTGGTTTGATTGTGTTGGTTGTGTCGGTTTACCGTCCCATCGGACTATGAGTGTGAGGGAATAGAGTGAGAGTGCACATGTGTTTTACACTTGGGCACTATAATCCTGTCCTGCAGCGATGGCTAGTCTCTGTTGAGGCTGGCCACCGTGACTGAAATTCGGTCTGAAGGATTATTATTGTTATTATGTTTCATGGTATACATTTTGAAAATGTTTGTGAAAAAAAAAACATATTTAAAGAAGTTTCAATTCTCTCAAATCATATTGAATTTCTTCCTAATTTAATATTACTCTATTCAATTTACTTATTTTAGGTAATATTCATATTTATTTATAACATGAATATGTTACAAAAGACAAATTACTTCAGATTGCAAGTCAAAACAATTGTATGTGCTGTGCCTGTGTCTGGGTCACTAGGGGAGTTGGGGTGGGAGTGTAGTAAACAAGTGAGAGTGTAATAAAGAAGTAAATAAACATAATCTCCATGACTATCACTTTTTTTTAATGTAAGAGATATGTATACTTACCATATTGCATAGACATAACAGTAGTTTAATGTAGTGTGCTTGAATAAAAACAAAACTTACCACAATAATATTATAGTGTGGGGAAGTCCACTGAACAGTTGTAATTGTAATTTATAGACATTGTATCTAATATGAATATTAAATAACATTAAATTGAATTGCAATGATGATATGCCAAAGGTTTCGCTAAATTTAACTACTGAATCCATAGCGGGTCTGTAGATATGCCTTGGCTGACTGAGCATTTTGAAATTAAGGTTATTTTCAATACTCATTGAAATTATCATCTTCCCTTGACACTTAAACTATTAATTACTTAAAAAACAAAGTGCTTAAAAAACTACTTGCATATAAACACTTATTTAATTACATTAAATACATATTTCAGGTAATGCCAGCAGTAGTGATCAGGCAACGGAAACCATTTAGGAGGCGGGATGGTGTCTTTATATACTTTGAAGATAATGCAGGTGTCATAGTAAACAACAAAGGAGAAATGAAAGGCTCTGCAATCACTGGACCTGTAGCTAAAGAGTGCGCTGATCTGTGGCCCCGTATTGCCTCCAATGCAAGCTCAATAGCTTGAATTACCTTAATATACAATTAAAAAAAATAAGTCTTTTATATTCATCTTAAACCCATTTTCCACATTTTATCCCTATACAGAGATATATAATCTGTACTTACATATAAATTACATATCTGTCCACATGCACACGCACGCGCACACATATTCTCACACACAAACACAAACAATGACGGGACATGAGTAATCTAACCGGTTAACTATGTTAGCTGAAATAATTGCTACAAATTCAGGTACTAAAGTCGTGAGCTAGAGGTCTATAGTAACCCCTGTGCATAAGAGTGGGGCATCTGCAAAATAATTGAAAGTTGCTCAACAATAGATTGGTTGATTTCCTAAATAAATTTAAATTACTATCAAATTCTCAATATGGTTTTAGAAAGTCGTTCAACTCGAGATGCAATTCTTGATCTCACTTCTATTATAGTTAGTGAAGTGGACAATTGCAGCAAATGTCTTAGTCTTTTTGGATTTAAAAAAGGCTTACAAGACCGTTTCTGTGCCTATTCTTTTACACAGGCTAGAATGCTTAGTATAGGGATACTCCACTCATGCTTTTTAAAAGTTACCTACAGGACAGAACTCAGGAAGTAATAAATAATTTACAGTGATAAAACCACGCCTAGTTTTGGGAGTCCCGCAGGATAGTGTACTGGGTCCGACTCTTTTCTACCGACTTCAAAAAGGAGACTACTCAATTCGACTGTATGTTTTTTTTATGTGTGTTACCTGATAACTTTACTGGGTGAATCGATTTCGATGATTCCGTTTTTATTTGAGAGCTGGTGCTTCACATGTGGTCCCATATAAATTTGATCAAGGTCAGACCAATGGTTTTTGGGTTATTCTTAATAATTTATATTGAAGTTGGTTGTACAAAATTTTTAATTATTAACCGATTCGTTGCGGCACCAATTTTCGACAACTTTTAGCTGTGGCGGCGAACAAATATTTCATGTCACGCCGGGCATGTTAAGCGCCCCAGACAAAAATGACACGCCTATTGTGCCATCCGCCATGTGTAAAAGTAATGTTCTTTTTTATGCTTTTTTTACTTGTTTAGACCTAATTAAGTTTTTTGGCATCAAACATAAGTTACAAATGGAAGGATACTTGTTTTTAGTGGGTAACTACGTGTTTTTTACGCGTTTTCTTTGAAATTGAGAGTAAGTGCCTTTTTTTATGAAGAGATTACAAACCTTTCGTACTATTTTTTGTTATAATAAAATCTTTTATATAAGTAGGTACAGCTAAATCACCCTGGAAACCTTGGTTTTTATTAAATTAAATTTTCACCTAATAATAACATTTGCAACATGGATTGAATGAAACATTTACTGTAATACTTTTATGGCAAAATAAATAAAAGTTATTATTATTTGTAAATATCAAACAATGAAGAACCTTAATTTGAAAAAAAAAAGTATATCATTTATTGATATTTACAAATGTTAATAATGTTATACAAATGTAAAAGTAAAGTCGATCTGAAAACGTCTATTTAGTAAGAATAGCAAAACAAGTGTTTTCAAAAGGACTAAAACGCCTGCGCTATACGGCGGCGGATTGACAAAAGACTATTTATTAGCGAACTTTTCTCTGCATGAACGGTTTCGAACTGTTTCAAGCAAAAATAAACCTTATACCATATCACAAGAGCACATGGTACTTCGTAGGTCTATTCGGCCATATGATATTAATAAGACGGCAGTTCAACCATTTTAAGCAAAATTAAACAATAAGACAAACGCATTGTTTTTTTTTAATACGAGACTTGTTTTCCAGAAATTTATTTACAACTTGAGTATGTGAGCGATCGCAATGAGTGCTATTATTTGTTACTTATTAGACAATTTTTCCATAACATGATTTAAAACCCACAAAGTAAATATAGTAGTACCATGTACACGTTAAAAATGAAAATTAAAATAATGAATATTTTGTTCTGGATAAATTTTCCAAAAAAGCAATTTGAGCGAGTTATAACGATTTTAAAAAAAGACACGACTCGCGTGTCATACGCCACACACAAAAGTAATCGATGGCACGCCTGGCGTGTCACCCGCACTGAACCGGTTAATATACATAAATGATCTATGTAATCTGCGTGATGTCGGGGGCAGGATATACTTCTATGCGGACGACACCGTGCTCGTTTTTACCAGCACCTGGCATACTGTCCAAGCAAGTACTGAGAGAGGATTAATCATCGTATATAATCCTGTTCTTAAATGTAAATCGAGTAGTTTGACCGACAGTTGTAATTATAGACCGATATTCATAGCTACAACTTGTGCTAAACTGTTTGAAACCATATTATTAGGCGTATTTCCAAATATATACATATTAGCAATGCTCAATTTGAATTTAAAAAAGATAGTTCTACGGATGCGGCGATTTTTTACTTTAAAGCAAACCGTTAGTTATTATAATAAGCGGAAAACAAATATTTATGCATGTTTCTTGGACCTAATAAGTAAGGCTTTTGACAGAGTCCATTATGATACACTGGAGGAAGTTACGTGATGCGGGAGTGCCGTCATTATATGTATTAACAAATTGATCGCATGGTTTAGTAGGCAAATTAATGTAGTAAAGTGGCGTGATACATACTCTGAGGAATTTCTCCTACAATGCGGCGTGAGGCAGGGAAGGCTAACATCGCCTCTGCTTTTTAATCTGTATGTTGATCAGCTGATCGAGGAGCACCAGACTGGGTTGCCATATTGGTTCTGAATGCTTTAATAACTTGAGTTATGCTGATGATATGGTGCTGCTGAGTCCCTCGATTGGTGTGCTGCGTGCACTACTCCAGATATGTGAGAAATATGCGTTGGGAGCTTTTTAAGTGGTAGGGTTCAACCTCATCCCCAAGTGTATTTGTGTAATTCGCAATTGGAGTGGGTAACGTTTAGATACTTGGGTCATATTGTTAGTCAGGATCTGTGTGATGCTTCCGATACGGACCGCGAGCGACGTTCCTTGTCAGTGCGTGCCAACATGATAGCGCGACGCTTTCAAAGGTGTTCTTATGCCTCCAAACTGGCGTTGTTTTCGGCTTACTGTCAGCCATTTTACACTCCTCAGCTATGGACACACTAAAGAATTATTTTATTTATTTAATAATTTATTATTTAATTGAATGAATTACACTAAAGAGGAATACCGCAGGCTGAAGGTGCAGTATAATGATTCGTCCCGAGTGTTGTTCCGTCAGTCATGATCGGTTAGGATGCGCTAATCCGTCACCGTATCGCGCTATTTAGAAGTTCTGTTTTTGGGTCGCAGAATAATCTCATCAAAATTATTTGTACCTTATATTTGTGCATTTAGTGAAATTTTTAGTAGGTGGTAAAATTTATTAATATCTAAATAATAAATATTTAATAATTTTATTAATTAACCAATAATAAGAATTAAAATTTAAGGTGTAATATAAAAATTTAATTTTGTAATGGATCAGTGTTGTCTGTATCAAATAAATTATTATTATAATATATAAATTTGACCAATTTTTTAACCCTAACCCTAAGGGTGACTAAACAGGGGATGAAGTTTTTAATGTAACTATTTAGACTACATTGAGATTGTGATTTATTTCTTTTATCCATGCAATGGGGTAAAAAAAAAATCACATTCTAAAATTGGTTTTTTTTATAGGAGAGGGGGCAAACGAGCATGCGGCTCCCCTGATGGCAAGTGACTACCGCCGCCCATGAACAGCTGCAACACCAGGGAGGGAATCGAGGATGCGTTGCCGGCCTTTTAAAAAGTAGTACGCTCTTTTCTTGAAGGTCCCTAAGTCATATCGGCTCGGAAAAATCGCTGATGGTAATCGATTCCACAAGGAAGTCGTGCCGAGGAAGAAAACATCTAATTCGCACAGTGGTGGACCGCCAATCATCCAGATGATGTGGATGGTATCGAGAGTTCTGCCATGATGTGCGTTTGTGAAATTTGGCGGCTAGGATTAATCCGAACAATTCCTCAGAGTACTCCCCGTGGTAGATGCGAAAGAAAATGCAAAGGGATGCAACATCTCTTCGCAGTGCCAATGAATCGAGCCGATCGGAAAGGACTCGGTCGTCGACGATTCGAGCCGCTCTGCGCTGGATGCAGTCAAGTGGAAGGAGCTGGTACTGGGGAGCCCCTGCCCAGAGATGGGAACAGTATTCCACGTGAGGCCGAACCTGCGCCTTGTAAAGTTGCAGGCGGTGTGCCGGCATGAAATACTGTCCCACTCTGATGAGCACGCCAAGCTTTTTAGAGGCCAATTTGGCCTTCTCTTCCAAGTGACCACGAAACTGCACGTCACTCGATATGTCGACACCGAGGATTCCGATACTGGCTGAGGCAAGAAGGGGAGTGCCTTGAAACTGAGGAGATACGACAAAGGGGTTCTTTTTAGCGGTATATGCGCAAACTTGTGTCTTCTGAGGATTAAACTGGACTAGATTTAGTCGCCCCCAATCCGAGACTTTGTTCAGCAGACTCGACTTCAGACACAAGTTTGTTCCGGTACTTGGCGACGTTGTCCCGAGAAATATTGGCACGGCCGGTGTATAGAGCATCACCAGTGCTGTCATCCGCATAGCAATGAATGTTACCAGTTAGCAACATATCATTGATATGCAGAAGAAACAGCGTTGGTGATAGCACACAGCCTTGTGGAGGAACACCAGCGTTAATAGGCTTGTAGTCGGAGCATGCACCGTCTACAACGACCTTGATGCTTCGATATGCAAGGAAGCTGGTGATCTAATTGCACAATTTCTCGGGAATCCCATAGGAAGGGAGCTTCGAAAGAAGCGCTTTGTGCCAAACCCGATCGAAGGCCTTCGCAATGTCCAAACTAAAGGCCAACGCCTCCCCCTTGGACTCAACTGCCTCTGCCCATCTATGGGTCAGGTAGACCAGAAGATCACCAGCTGATCGAGCCCGACGAAAACCGTATTGGCGGTCACTAATCAGCTGGTGATCCTCAAGGTACCGCATGAGCTGGCAGTTAATAATGGATTCCATTATTTTGGAGAATAAGGAAGTGATCGCGATAGGCCTATAGTTGGACGGGTCTGAGCGGTCGCCTTTTTTAGGGATCGGGTGGACAAAAGCTGTCTTCCATGAATTCGGGACTACGCCTTGGGAGTAGGAGTACCGGAAAAGACGCGTTAGGACCGGTGCCAACTCCGGAGCACACGTCCTCAGCACAATTGGGGGATTCCGTCAGGCCCACTCGACTTCTGGATGTCCAGGGAGAGGAGTGCTTTGCGAACCGAGCGCTGTGAGAACAGCACATACGGCATGGAGCACTCACACCGCGGGATAGTCGACGGTGGTTTCCCCCCGTCATCAAGAGTCGAGTTGGACGCAAAAATGGAGCCTAAAAGGTCGGCTTTGTCTTTTGCGTCTTGGGTCAGTGAGTCGTCCTCCCTGTGCAGAGGTGGTAGTTATGGCTTACAGAAATTCCCTTGGACAGCCTTGGCGAGAGACCAGAATGCACGGGTTCCCGAAGGAAGGCGAACTAGCTCCTCACCAATTCTGCCTATGTGCTCTGACTTTGCCTTGGCAATAACTCTTTTGAAGGACCTGGAGGCGATTTTTACCTCTTACAGGAGCGACCAAACCAAGGCTGAGATCTGCCTCCGATGGGTACCACAGATGATGGAATAAATAGTTCCATTCCCTGTAGCACCACATCAGTGATAGAATCAGCAACAGTGCTGGGATCATCCGGCGAGAAGCGAACCCGCCCCCATGGGTAAGATGCAAAGAAAGACCGCATTCCGTCCCAATCCGCCGATCTGTAATGCCAAACACGGCGGCAACCTGCAGAACGCAACCGCGAGGGGAGCGTGAGTGGCACCACACTCCGGATCAGACAATGGTCCGAAGAGCCAAGAGGAGCATCGACGGAAACCTGATATCCGTCCGGATGAGAGGTCAGCAGAAGGTCCAACAGGGAAGGTGTATGATCCTCAACATCAGGAATCCGCGTAGGCGATGTAACCAGTTGTGTCAGACCATATGCCAAGGCAAAGTCATAAACAGATCTCCCCGCATGATCGGTTAAACGTGAACCGAGCCATTCGGCGTGGTGGGCGTTAAAATCGCCAAGGATCACGATCTCTGCGGATGGGACCTGTTGTAGCAAAGAATCTGTAGCCATTTGGACGTGGTCAATGAGTCGGTCTGTTTCGGCATTACCGCTATGGGACCTATAGAGGCACCCGTAGACGCGCGAATGGTCGTCGCTGTCTACGCATAGCCATAGAATGAACAGGTCCGAACCGTCAAGACTGCCGAGGCGTCGAGGACAGATGTCCTCTCTGACATACACGCAAACTCCAGCCCGAGGCACAAAGGAGTGCTCCAATTTGTACCCCGGGTAGGAGAGATACGAAATATCAGCGGGAGAGGAAACCTGCGTCTCGGTCAGAAAGAGCAAGGCCGGCTTCGCCGTCTCGAGATGGTAGTGGACGGCGTTTAGGTTCGAGTGAAGTCCCCTGATGTTGCAGAAATTCACGGATAGCGTGGCAGGGGTCGCCTTGGTCTTGTTGCTCAGTTTGCCCCGAGCAGTTATGTTTTTGAGCGGAATTTTGCCTCCCCCCCCAGAATACGCGGGGCAGCCTGAGCACCCATGCTCAGGAGTGGAATAACATGACCGTGGCTGCTCAGCGAGGGATTCTCCAGGGGTGCTGGTACCCTCCTGGCGTAGTCTAACGTGTGATTCCGTTACCATGTTGACGGGGGGGGGGGGGCTCCGGCCACCTGCACTCACCAGACGAAACGCAGAAGCAGAGCTTCTACTTCACGTCGGTATTCTGTGAGGTCGTGGTACCGACCCGGCTCGAGCCGGCCCATACGTGCAACAGCAAGAAACTGCTGCGTGGCTCTACCACCGTTAAAGTTGGTGCCTTAATTATTCTCACTGTCTTAGCACCAACTTCAGAATGTATTTTTTTTATAGAATTAGGATGACAAACGAGCACACAGTCAACCTGATGGTAAGTGGTTGCTGTGGCCGATATACATCTGCATCTATCTCCGTTTGCGAATTAAAATGCAGATGCGTAGTCACCCTTGAGGACTAAGATGGAATGCCTCTTTTCCAATAAAAAAGGGTCGCCGGTTCTCTACACTCACCATACGAAATACAGCAGCATTAAGCTGCTATTTTACGCTGGTATTCTGTGAGAGCGTGGTCCTCGGTCGAGCCGACCCATTCGTGCTACAACTATAAAAACTATAAAACTTTGAAGTTGGCTTTTACTTTAAAAGAAAGTTGTTTTACTCTATAAAATTATTAAATGAAACAAAAGTTATGGAAAGACTTATATTACTTAAGTCTAAAGAGTAGACTGCATACAGTGTTACGCAAAGCACTTTAGTTACAATATAAAATGCAAAAACAAAATACCGAAATTTATGCCCTAACTATTTGTTCATACTGATTCACTAACACAGTACTCTTGTGAACTTAAACAATCTTATGTACTTTACTCGCACTTCACGCTCTGTTTAGTATAAAATCAATATAATTAAACTAACAGTATTTTATAAAAAGTAATATTTAATATATTATGGTTCACATATTCCGTTACACATAATGTACATAGATAGTTTAATTAAAAAAGAAATAAAGTTTGTGTTATTTAATTTAGAACTACTAAACTAGATTATTAATTTTATAAAGTGCAATACATAACGCCGCCGATTACTCGAAGTTGAATATAATAATAGAACAATATTCTATCGCCTTTTCTTGTGAGTCTTGGTTGGTCCCTTCACGAAACACCAGTCCACTGAGATTGCTTGACCTAGAATGTCAGCACCATCAAGAGCTTCACGGGCACTCTGAAATTCAAAATTATGATTATAATTGCATTGGTAATAAGTATTATTTTAATAAACTAACACCAGTCTAAAAAAGTTGATCCAAGTAAACGCAGGGTGGGGTTCTTTCACCTCTCCTGTGGAATATGGTCATTAATGAACTTATTAGCTAATTAAATGCCAATCACTTCTACACAGTAGGTTATGATGATGACCTGACAATACTGGTCTCTGGAAAGACAGCAAGCATTGTGTGCGACCTGACCCAAGCGGCTCTCCGTATAGTGGAGAGATGGTGCAGGGAATACGACTTAACCATTAACCCAAATAAAACGGTCCAATTAATGTACACACAAAAACGAATGCTGAATAACTATCATCTCCCAAGTCTTTTCAGCACAAAACTTCAGCTCTCCTCTGAGGTAAAATATTTAGGTCTTACCTTGGACAGGAAACTTAACTGGAATAAACACATAGAAAACAAAATCAATAAAGCTAGTATAACTTTCTGGCCATGAAGAAACATTATTGGCAAAAGATGGGGTCTGACGCCAAAAATCATACCGTGGCTGTACAAAACTGTAATTCGGCCCATGATCACATACGGCGCTCTAGTAAGGTGTACCAAGACAAATGAAGCCGCCACTATAAAGAGAAGCTTCAGCGCTACCAGAGACTAGCATGTATGGCCGCCACAGGCTGTATAAGGACTACTCCAACAACAGCTTTAGAGGCGATGCTGGAGCTAACCCCGTTTCATCTACACGTACAACAAGAAGATTCAAGACCTTAAATCTTTGGAGTAGAATAGAGTCGCTCATATAGGCATAATTGATAGAATTCACTCTCGAGTTCTGAAGCAATCGAATTTTATTCGAGCTTGAGGTATTTTCGTACTCCCGAAAACAAAGCTTGTAATTCGTAGGTATAGGTAGTATTTATTGTCAAAATGTGACTCCTTATATACAAAAATTAACAAAATTTACAAAGTTTCCAAATAATCAAAATGTCTACATTAAAATATTTACAATCTTAAAATTACGATATCTAACAAAAATCTTACTATAATGTAATGTTTTGATTGGTCGTAAATATGAACAAAATTCTTGGAAACGGCGCGCACGACTCGCGGACAGCGGAGGTATAAATACGCCGTGACTGAGTACTAAGCGTCGCCCCCTTTTCCCTAAAGAGAGTCGCTTCCGATTCGGCAGAAAGGCCACAAAAGCCAATGCCAGTCTCACAGGTGGTGTTTAGTGGGTTGGCACTTAGGTTAGTCGCAGTGAGTTCCACATAACCACGACAGCCGGCTGTCGTGGTATGCTTAGAGCATTCACCACCTTCCTTCCTGAGGGTAGCCCTTTCTATTGTATCTGAGCGCAAAAAAAAAATGCGAAGCGTCTCTTTGCATCTCAGCGCTCGCATCGGATGTATCTGTAGTCCAGCTGCGCGTAGTAATAAACTCGCTACTAAGCTGCTCTCGGAGCCACATAATGCTTTATTCTGGCAATATAATGCTCTTTTTTTGAGAAATGACTTTCCTATCTTTCACGAGACATCGACTGTAGCTATACGTACAATCGAATGGTGGTTGAAATTGGAATTATCAAAACGGAATTCTTCAGCTTTCCGCTGCTAGATGGCGCTTGTAGTCCGTAAGCAACCAGAATGTTTTTTTTTTGTATTTATATCAAAATTAAAAAATACACATAATTATTTTGATTTACTAAGAATTAATGTAACCAGATCGTGTTTCTCGATTCAAATAGCATAGGGAGTACCTAAGCTTTTAAATTCCAACGCAGGAAACAACAATAGGATACCCAATTGAATTCGAAATCAATTTCGGGAGCACTTGATAATCCATATTATTCATTCATTCATTAATTCAATACAACCTATTAAAGTTCACCGCTGATCATAGGTCTATACAGTAGCCACTTAACATCAGGTGTACTGTGAGTTTGTTTACTTTGCTACCTTGACAGGCGGATTGGCAACCACACGTTTTATTATTTTAAGTTTATATGAGGAAGATGCTGCTGCCCATCTGTTCCCCCCCCCCCCCCGTAGCCACTTCCGAGGCCCATACTACAGACGCGTTGTCACCTCTGAGGACAAAGATGGAAAAACTCATAGCCGGTAATTATACTGGCTCTCTGGACCATTCCTAACGGAACACAGCAGTGAAAGCATCTACCCAGATGAACTCCTAGGCACAAAAGACATACCTAACACCAAGTAAATATTATGTATATAGCAAAATAACTTACTGCAGCTTGTTTGTAAGTTTCATATTCAACTAGAGCGTAACCTTTTAAGAAACCCGTTCGGCGATCCAAATTCAAGTGAATATTTTTGATTTCACCAAATTCAGAAAACTGATTCTGCAAAAAAAAAAAAAAAACTAAACAAGGGTTACATATAAATGTTCTAATACCAGGATAAAGCAGCTTCAAAGAAGCTGGGAGTCCTTGCAAAGGTGCGGTGATACTTCACGCCGGGACAGCTGCTTACTTTAATAAAGCACAAGTCCGATCGCGCATGGAGTATTGCTGCCATCATATATGGGCTGGTGCTGCAAAATGTAACTCAGCAGCTTTGGACTCAATGGAAAGGCGTGCTAAGAGGCTTATTGGTGACTCGAATTTGGTTAAAACCAATCTTACCAGCCTTGAACACAGATGCAAAGTAGCCAGCCTTTTGGTTTTCTACAGGATGCAATTCGGAGTGTGCGTGCAGGAATTGCAACCAGACGATCCGCCAGTCTCCACCCTTTCATTGTTGACTTACCACGCATTCGAACCTAACGGTTAACTACATCGTTCACCATGTGTACAGCAAAGGAGTGGAATAAGTTGCCAGCATCTGTCTTTGCACTATGATAAAAACACATGGAGCATTTTAACTTATCTATCATGAACTCCTGGTATTTCAAAATCTTTTTAGCATTATGCTGTACAGTTGGATAATTTTATGTTTTTGTGCAAAGTGCAGTACACAAAAATGCTGCTGTGTAGCCTTCAACTATTTACGGTGTCTTTGGTATTACAATATATATAGTGCTGCTTAACAGCACAGATTTGTACCGATTTAATGTCTACATTCTATAGAAGCAACTGAATGCTGTTGTACAACTAACAACTTTATATTCACATAAGTTTGGACTATTGAAATAATAATAATAATAATGTTTTCCAAGTCAAATTTTGATTGTGACCGATAATCTCAATGGAGACAGGATTATGCAGTGCACAATTATGACCAACGGCTTTACATGCTTACGAGACATGGGGTCAAATAGGGTTGTCAACCATACTAAAGTATATAGTATTGTACTATATCTTGGGTCTGCGTACTATAAACTGTTGAAGAATTATACAGTACACAAAAATACTATATTTGCAACACCAAAATCTAACAAACAAATCCTTAATTTTAAAAATTTATGAACGCACCTTTACAATTAATTTTGATCATTACAATAGCATTTATCCTACAAGATTGTATCTATGCAAGTATTGTATCAATTACTATAAATCTATTTAAAGTAATTTCATTCATGCTCTCTATTCCCGCCAATTCGGCATTCACAATTAGGATATTTTCGGTTATGAATTCGAAATGGCGAGAAGAAAGAAACAGAATTAGTATCTCATTAATAAAAAAAAATTCATTTGATTTACATTAATTTAAAAATTGAATGTGATAAAGCATTACATGTAACTTTTATTTTAAACAAAAATGGTTAAAAAATTTAAGAAGTGTAATAAAAGATAGTTTGCATAAAAATAAATAAGCAACAAATAATCTTTGTCTATTGTTTTTGCTTTTTTTCCATAACATACTACACATACATAAATTTTTGTAATACATGTAATTTATGTATACATACATATACATAAATTTTTAAAGTGTACTATATTTTTGTGGCTTATTTTGAAAAAATACTATATTTCGCCATAGAAGAGACATTAATATAAACACCAGGTTGGCAAGAAATGTTGCCACCCTAGTGTCAAACAACATCAACTTCCTGACTCTGGGAATTTCTTGAGAAATAAACTAAATAGATTATTTTGGTCCTACCAAACATTTGAAATAATATGATGTAGTAATTCATTAGAGAATTAAGATACTAAACTTCTTTTATATAATCCCCAAAAACAAATTTAATTTTATTTATAAAGCAAGTATATTTTATACTTTCTCCATAAGCAAATTGAAATTAGTAAACACATACATAAACCATTAGGCAATTATTATCTCAAATTTTTATGCTAAAAACCATAGCAACTGTAGGTTAAATACCTGTATATCTTCTTCTTGAGCTTCTTCGTGAACATTGCTTACAAATAATATCCAACCTTCTACAGACCTTTGAGGACCAGGTGCATTACCATCACCTTCTGGAGCCAGACTATCATATCTAAAATAAAATTGTTGTATAAATATAAATGGTAGGTAAATTTAGAGAAGAGTTATCATAATTTAGAGTATAAATTTTTTTTTCAAGCCAAATGCAACTTTTCCTTAGCCTTCTCCCTCTTACAGAAAAGTATAGTTTATGAGTAATTTTTTTTTTTTGTAAAATCATAACCCAAATGAAATATTGACCCAAAGTTATTTTTGTAATAGCTTCCGCTTTGCAGGAATTGCAGCACCTTCACCCTTGCGTAGCAAATCACAGGCACCCATGCTCAGCTCCGCAGCTTACAACTTGCTACGGCAGGCAAGGGCTGCTCCTCCTCCACGCCTATGGCTTTACAAAATCTCTCTAGGAGTAGGGCAGAGAAGACTATGTGGGCATGCTGGTTCAGTTTTAGTTCGAGCTAGTCAGGTTGCCCTAAACTCTGCTATGATTTATACATTTCGTTTTCTTAAGTATATTTTGAGTACTCTCCATCTCCACTGCAACTCAATTTGTTGTTCATGAGTTCCATCTTTAGCAACAAATGAATTGTCTAGGTCCGAGTGATTAAATACTTATGGGTGTAACCATACAAAAAAAAACAAATTGCCATATTTGTCTTTTGTTATGTGCAAGTTTTTGTAAAATTTATATTTTGTTGTAATTAATTCAAAATGCATTTCTGAAATCGAAAAATAGTGAAAAAGGTTCTAGCTCAACCCTGACAAACTTAAACTGTAAATATAATTAAAATCAAGTACGGGACATCTACTTCATAATACAAGACGAAATTAACACACATATTTGTGTTTCGTTATACACAATTTTTAGTGATATTTATTTTTATCATAATTTATTCAAAACACATTTTCCACATCCACAAACTATGTAAAAGGTTCAAGCTTAACCCTGACAAGTCTTCTATACTGAAAACATAATTAAAATCAAGTACTGATGTGTATAGCCAACCCATTATCAGATCAAATAGCCGTTAAACAGTAAAAACAGCCAGGATGGCTTTGTGCCGGACTGTCCATACAGCCACTGCAACTGTCATAATCTGTTCATATTTATGGAAAGGCTTGTAGATAGACAAAGCTAGATGACAAATAATTTTTAATATGTAGTTCTTTGACGAATTTGAAGATATTACCTGTCGAAAATTGTCAATTAAATTGTCCCAATTCAGCGCTGACAATGCTAGCTTTATCTTAAGCTTAAGCTAATCCCTACCTTCCTCTATTCCCTCGTTCTGAAACACCGCCTCCGCCGCCTTCATTGCCAAATCCTCGTCCTTTGCGTTTTCGCGCCTTCTCTTTTAATCTCGCAATTCCCTCTTGAAAAGTGAAGATTTTTGTGTAATAAAAGTAAAAAAGGTTAAGTGTACGTATAATAATCATAATTTTTTTTAAAAACTAGCAAATATAAAAAAATGCATAAAGATATTGAAGAAAGTTGAGTCAAATGTAACCTATAAATGACTTATAAATTCTGACATATTCAGAAAAGCAAGATTAATTTGTAACTACTTTACAAAAGTCACTTAAAATAGTTTGCATTACATAAAATGCATTTTTAGTATCATGCAAGATTTAACTTACGTTCACCGTCTTCATCAACCTCAAATTCCTCTGAATTTTCAATATCCAAGACATCCGCCATAGTTTTGTGGCTTAATTATATGAGCAGTAAGTAGTAATTATGAAAACAATCTAAATTGATCAATCAATTAATTATTTTTCTCTGAAATTAAACAAACATTATTATGTACTAAAAATTACAATAACATTAAGAAAGCGTGTCAAAGTAGAGATGGGTAACTCAGGAGAGATAGATACAAAAGATATGAATCAATCCGTTTCCATCAATCACTCTTTATATCAATCCGCATCCGAATGTATCACTGTATCAGTGTATCTTTACAAATCATTCACTCAAGGCATCTTTTATCTAACATCTGGGTCGCACATTGCGTACAGTGCTTTATATTATACCTCGGCCGGCATAGCCGGCCATTCCAGGAAGATTTCGAAAACTCCATAGTACAGACGTTTCTTTCGCACCTCATTATTTAGAATGTTCTGTCGCGCTTTCGCAAGACGAAGAGAGTGATTTCTTTGACCATTCTAAACTGTCATACGACGGCACAAAAAGTTAAATTGATAACTCTATGACTGGTGCATAGGGCTTAAAGTCTCTCTACTAGTATTCATAATTTGCAACTCTGACATTTAAATTAGTATAAATATGTATAAAAAAAACGATATGGATATATGTAAATGATGCTGAAAATCATAATTAAAAAAGTCACTGTACATAGCCACTGATTTCTAAATACGCCAACCTAAGAATCTAAATTTTATTTAATAAATTTAACTACGTATAGGTGAGCCGTGAGCCGTGGTGGCTCAGATGGTTAGCGCTCGCTGTAAGCTTCACAGTACTCGAGCAACCCGGGTTCGATCCCCGCCGGCACCAATGAAATTGTTAATTGCAATTTTAAGTGCTGATTTACGACGTGCTCGGCGGTGAAGGAAAACATCGGAAGGTTGTCTGAGAAATAAGAAAACTTTAATTTTTTAATCATAACAAATAGATACCTAGAAAGAAACAGCAGCCAAATATATCAGAATGATACACAATGTTACGACCAAGCAAAATGCAAACAGCTCTATAGGTACTTATCTATCACTCTTACTGATAGATTTGAGTTGAGCGAAGCGAGCCACGCTCCGTGATCAGCGCAATATAATGCAATGCGTGTCGTGCGCGCGAGCTTGAGCTACTGATACATAAAGATATAAAAGAGTGATACATATCACAGTGATCAAAAGATACATATCAATCTTTTCTTTAAAGTGATACACATTGCCCATGTCTATGTCAAAGAGATGCTCATAGATAATATCATCCATAGAGTAGAGTATTTTTTAATAACTAGCTTTACGGCTCTGGGTTCTCACCCTTCTGAGCTTGAAATTACATTATATAATTATTATCCTTCATAGTACAGTGCTTCACAATATGTTGATGCGTCTAATTGTACAGGCCTTGGGAGATTTGGACGGCAACTTGAGCCAGCAGGCAGCTGAAAGTTGGCGGTGGTATCTCAAGGCGCCTAAGCAGACAAACACCATATCTTGAGAATCACATCACCATCAGAGCACTTGTTTCACCGGTTACACTAATAGTTTACATGCGTAGACATTTAATACACAAAATCGCACCACTTTTACATATCAAAATCCACTTCAAACCATTATTTAAACAATAATACAGGAGCAACAATCCGTCACCGGTCAAGTTCCAGCCAAAACTCCAGAGTAGTCCAAGACTACGCGAACGACCTAGGTGGGAAGAGCGCTCTTTTAGGTGAACTATGCGAACTAGTTCGTCGACAATCTCGCTCTTAGTTCTTAATTATTTATTTTTCGGGCGTCCGCTCTATTATGGAGTGGCACTGCATGGCTAACCGACTGATTTATTTTTACTCTTACCATTCTTACCAGAGTTTCTTATTAAAGTATATAATTTATAGTCTATAGTTAAAGTTATATTAGTGCACAATTCACAACAAATAGCAAATATTGCTGGCTCACAATATTAATATCAAAGTGATAGTAAACAGTACATAAATACAGTATAGTTCTCAATTCGATTTTACGGTAAGTTTATTCAAAATTAAAAAATATCTTTTCTATTTCTACTGATTTTAATAAATACTCGAATACAGTGCAATCTCAATATAACGAAACGGAATGGAATTAGAAAGTATTCGTTACTATAGCAAGTAATTCGTTATAATGAGGTTTGTTATATAGAGGTTAGGTGGAACTACGATTCGTTTTAACAACGTAAGAAAACTTGTTAATTAATCTCAACATTACGTAAGTCGTCATTTGCTTGTCGGGTACGACACGTACAATGTGAACCTGTCAAGACATGATGTATTGTGGAATTGAGTGGGAATAATTAATAGGATGTTATGTCAAGATTTAAAGTTGAAAAAATTGGTTAAATAGAGGTAAATTATACCTTCTATATATATTCTGCAATGATTAAAAATTCGTTACAAAGATGTTTTCGATAAAATCAGCATTAGCTCTTACAGGCAGTTCTAGGAGATTTCGAAAAATTCGTTAATTCGAGGAATTCTTTATATTGAGGCTTATTATATCAACGTTACACTGTGTTACTATTATTTATTTATTTATTTATTCACAAATTGCGTTACATGTGACTTAGAGGCTAAATAAAACATGCAAGTTCTAACAATCACATGTACCTCGAAAGGTATAGCAAAGAACAGGAGAGGGGCAGACACTTAAAAATTATTTTCCTCAATGTATTCATTAATTGAATAATCACTTTTTTTTAATAAGTATATCTTTTAAAGATCTTATGAATTTATTAATATTTGTTTCGGTTTTTATGTATTCCGGCAATTTATTATAATTTTTATTGACATCGGGTAAGGACCTGTACTGTGTAATTTTAATTTAGATTTTGGTTGCAAAAGGTTATTCTTATAGCGAGGTACGTTGTGTCGGGGCGCGTCTATGATTTTGGTGTAAAAACTTGCGTGTCTTTTTACAAACTTACATATTTCTAATATATATAATATGCACGGTAATGTTAGAATTTTGAGACTTTGAAAGTGAGGTTTGCAGCTTTCTCTTTGTTTGGTATTTGCAAGTACGCGTATACTCGCCGAGTACCGGAACAAACTTGTGTCTGAAGTCGAGTCTTTGTTGAACAAAGTCTCGGATTGGGGGCGACTAAATCTAGTCCAGTTTAATCCTCAGAAGACACAAGTTTGCGCGTTTACCGCTAAAAAGAACCCCTTTGTCGTATCTCCTCAGTTTTAAGGCACTCCCCTTCTTGCCTCAGCCAGTATCGCTATCCTCGGAGTCGACATATCGAGTGACGTGCAGTTTCGTGGTCACTTGGAAGAGGAGGCCTAATTGGCCTCTAAAAAGCTTGGCGTGCTCAGCAGAGCGGGACAGTATTTCATGCCAGCACACCGCCTGCAACTTTACAAGGCGCAGGTTCGGCCTCACATGGAATACTGTTCCCATCTCTGGGCAGGGGCTCCCCAGTGCCAGCTACTTCCACTTGACCGCATCCAGCGCAGAGCGGCTCGAATCGTCGACGACCGAGCCCTTTCCGATCGGCTTGATTCATTGGCACTGCGAAGAGATGTTGCATCCCTTTGCATTTTCTTTCGCATCTACCATGGAGAGTGCTCTGAGAAATTGTTGAGATTAATCTCAGCCGCCAAATTTCACGAACGCACATCGCGGCAGAACTCCCGATACTATCCACACTATCTGGATGATTGGCGGTCCACCACTGTGCGATTTAGAAGATGTTTTCTTCCTCGCACGACTTCCTTGTGGAATCGATTACCATCAGCTATTTTTCCGGACCGATACGACTTAGGGACTTTCAAGAAAAGAGCGTACTCCTTTTTAAAAGGCCGGCAACGCATCTGCAATTCCCTCCGTGGTGTTGCAGTTGTTCATGGGCGGCGGTAGTCACTTACCATCAGATGAGCCGCATGCTCGTTTGCCCCCACACCTGTAAAAAAAAAGTTTTTGTAAAATAAAAAGTTCGTGTGATTCTACACTGTTGCCCCACAGTATGACGCCGTAGTTTAGCCACGCTTGAGCGTAGGCGTGATAGGCTGTTAATGCCGTTTTTAAATTTGTAGATTTTTTAAATTAATTAGCGACATGTAATCAATAAATTACAGTTGCGTTATTTTCATTAATTCAATACACTTCAAAAATATAAAAACATATTTAGCTTCCTTTATTATATTTTATTTTAATTTCCATGTCATCAAATGGTTCTTGATAAGTATCATGCATATATTATATATTATGTACTATATTACATACCAATTAAATCATTAATATTTTTTAACGTAAAACAATTAATTTTTATTTACTGACATTCAATAAACTCATCTTTTTGTCACTCTCAAGATTATTTTAATAAGATCTACTGAAAAATTAAAAAAAGAACTAACGAACTAAATGAGCGAACGAGTTCGCTATAGGACTACGAACTAAATTGAGCGCTCCCAATGGCAACCGACTATGCCCAAGACTACTCCAGAGTAGAGTAATAGTTTGGTAATAGTATAGTAGAGTATAGTATATACGGGAATATAGTAGAGTATATACGGATTATTTCACAGACTACTAAAAGGATTAAAGATTTCGGTTTATACAAATGTGCTCTGTGATTAAAGGATACTGCTGCTAAACGTAGTGGTTATATTCTCTTTGGCTGCAACATTGACGAATTACTTTAATACTGGAAATGACTATAGTCGGTAGTCTTGTTTTGTTTAATACCTTTTCATTTCAGTACACGTTTCCAGTTTGGTTTTAATTATTAATATTTTAATATACATACGCATCATAACACGCATATAACTTTCTTTCAGCGAACTTATATTAACAATTTTTAAAGTTTATGTATGAACTAAGTGTTAGGACTCATTTTTGTCTGGGAGGTCGTCTGGGTAGGTATCAACCTCTAACCTAGGACCGGTATAAATAAAGAGTGTAAGGCTTTCCATCTCAGTCCGTGTAGGTGACAACGTCATTTTTATTTGAAGTTAGCTACAATTTTTTTTGTGCTGCAGTAGT